TTATTTTTTTGAGGATGAGGGAGAAACAGCTACTGCGAATTCAGAGCTTTACATCCAAACGCTGAACAACTATTTTTTCCGGAACTTCGACGTCGACGTGTCCGTCTCAGAACAGTGTGGTTTCAACAAGACGGAGCAACATCTCACACAGCTCGCACTTCGATAGGACCTCTTCGGCAAGAATTCCCAGGACGTCTCATTTCACGTCGTGGTGATATTCCATGGTCCCCTCGCTCCCCGGACCTATCAACGTGTGATTTTTTTATGGGGCTACCTGAAATCAAAAGTTTACCAAAGCAAGCCTCGGATCCTCGTCGATTTGAAGGAGGAAATAAAAAGAGAAGTAACCCAAATTCCTGCACGGATGCTGGCCCACGCAATGGGCTCATTTCGAGTGAGGCTTGATTCCTGCATTTCGGCTCAAGGGCGCCATATGGCTAACAGAGTTTTTAGATCGTAAATTTTGTTTTACTCAAAAAACTGGCATGTATTTCTGAGTATTTTGATATAATACAATATTTTTCCCCATATTTATTTTGACTGTACTACTCATTTAAAAAACGTTCTCTCTGACGGACCCTGTATGAGTTATCACGTATTGACCATGGGCGCCCACAGGAGGTTTTCTCAGTCAGAGGGGGCGGATCATCGGCAAGAGATAAATTTCTGTAAAAGTGGACCTACTCTCAGAAGAAATTGGTAGCAGTGTTTTTCGGGATTTAAATGCCAGCGGTCTTATGAGTAAAAATTGAAATAGCTTTCAGATCATCCCAAAGTTTGTTTTTGTAGGCATCTCAACTTTCTGAACATTTTCAGAGGTAATCAAACATCTTTGTGGAAAGGTTACAATTTTTAAGCATTTTGAAAATTTGCTTTTATCATTTCCGATTACTCACGGAAAATTTGAAAATAGACATATGTAGGCAAACGATTGAAAGTACAGAGTCAATCTAGTTGCCACTATTTCTTTCCGATTTTTTTTTTATTAAAACTTCGAGTTTCTGGGTCATTATATGCTTAATAATTAAAGTTGCTTCATAGAACTTCTCACATACCATATTTTAATTACTTTTAATTTCTAAAAGCTTTTTCCAGCTGTTGCAGTTGTAATCTAGAGGCTTAAAATAAAGTGGTGATAGTAGTGAATCCACCAAATATGAGTCCTGCACCTCAGAGGTATACCGTCTTCTTATGCTTTCCCTATATTCACTGAGTTAGCCCAATCAAAGTAGTAAGGACTGTTATTAGAAAATTATTTATTCATCCATACAGCTTGTTAACTAAAATGTTATTACATTTACCTTATAATAGCTTATATATTCTTAATAACATCGAGATTACAAACGATGAAAAATACATGACATTTCAACTCCGGCTGGCACCTCCCTCCCATATCTCGTTAGGAAGCGTAAAAGGCGACAAGGACGAAGGTGGAGAGAATGCTGACCCAGAGAATATCCGCAATTATGGGGGAGTGCTTTATACATTACGCGTGGAAATTCGTTTAAGGGTTTATGAGCAGAAATAGCTAGGAATGATGCAATATAAAAGCTGTTTGTGGACAATTGGCTCTATTAGCAAACTTGCAGGAAAGAGTATAACAGGGGTAATTGGAAAAGCTTGCGTTTCTGAGTCACTGGCCTCTATTCCACAAGGAAATACTTTTTCACTGATATCCGGAGAAATCACCAGTAATGACCTCAACGCCCCGCTGAGAAGTAGCTCCTCCCTCACTAGGTAGTGATAACAAAAAACACCTAGTGTTATTTAAAATGGTAATTGTAAAATGAATTTTAATGGTAGGACCATTATTATAGCACACTTTCCCGGCAAATTTAGGAATTGGCTTTACACATTTCTTGTAAATGCAGGTGCAAGTATTGGTATCAGATCTTATGAAAGAGCTCTCCGGCATGTATAGAAACTTCTTGGCTTTGGTTGTTACGTGGTGTATGATACGGTTAAAACCCGAAATGCGATGACAACTAGGTTCATCCGGTTAGAACTAAGTGTAGCCACTAAAATGACAATGTCCGAAGAATCAGAATCTAAGAAATCAAGTTTTTACGGAGAGCTTGAGTTCATATTAACTTTGAAACAAAGCAATAATCGTTATATAAGTAATGAAGTATATCGAAGACGTCAAAACTGCAAAAAAAAGCCACGAAGCGTTCGATTTTACAATATTAAAAACTAATATTTCTGGAATAATTTTTATAGATCAAAATAAAATCACCCTATTGATATACAGGGTGTAAACGTTATGCTAGTCATTATTGAAATGGGTAATAGGGGGGTCAAACCAAGTCAAAAAGTTCATATGACCCATGGTCCAAACGTCAATAGATTCTTGTCTAAATGGCTTTATAGTTTACAACTTTGAGTGCTTTATATCGACCACAATCACCACAATCTAATTTTTATAATCTAATCTAAAACTTTTTTAAATTGGGTAATTAACAAATAAGTGGCATTAAGTTTTTATAAGTTAAGCCAAAATTTGTAGTCAGTAAGTATGTTTCATCAAATTGAATATTTAAAACACACATGACAACAGCGCGTCGTCATCACTCTTATCGAACCGGCAATCGATCGCAAACGGTAACAGTGGTTAGTTATCGGGCATCGGGCGTGCTGTTTTGTTTTTGCTCGCGTACGTCGTCAAGAGTTCGCCGACATGTTGTTAGTTTACGGTGAAGTTCGTCAGAATTCAAATCTTGCAGCTCAAATTTATCGCAACAGATTTCGCCAAGAGGTACACCCAGACAAAAGGATATTTGTGCAAGTGTACCAAGGACTACGAGATACAGGAAGTGTTGAGCCCACTAATATTCGCACTCGTGAAAGACAGGTTATTGTAGAGCAGGAGGAACAAATTTTAAATATCGTGGAAATCAATGCAGATATTATGTACCATGTACAACGAGTGCAGGCCTTGTTACTAGAAGACTATCCTCACCGACTAACATTCTGTCAGTGTTTTTTGCACAAAAAGATTGAAAATCAGGATTTTTTTAAAAACGACGGACGAATGTACTTTTACGCGAGACGGGAGATTAAATTTCCATAATACTCACACGTAGGCCCAAGAAAATCCTCATACTATTCGTGAAGGTCATTTCCAACAACGTTTTAAAAGAAATATTTGGGCGGGTATTCTTGACCATCAGGTAATTGGCCCTTTCGAGTTACCCCCAAAGTTGTCAGGAGAAGGATACCTTAGCTTTCTAGCCAACCTACCAGAACTTTTGGAACAGACCTTAGACAACATGCCGTTACAACGGAGACAAAATTTGTGGTTTCCTCATGATGGGGCACCACCACACATTTTAAGAGGCATCATTCCGTATTTGAATGAACATTGTCCAAATCTCTGGATCGGTCGAAATGCTCCTGATCCTCGAAAATGGCCATTTCTGGTATTCGCGAAAAAAAAAAAATTAATGCGGCTGAAATAATAAATCGACAACTTCGAGGACCTAGAGTAAGAAGAAACTAGGTTCGCCGTAATGAAGCTTATGTGGAAAGTGGAGGATGACATTTTGAACACCTTCTTTAAATACAAAAAAAGTGCAGTGTGGGTTTTAAAAAGAAAAACAAGGTATGTACCAAAATGGTGTTCCCTATTTATAAGTGGATTTTTTTAATACGTTCAATAAACTTTCACACGCCAGGTGAAGCGCTGAGATAGTTAGTGGTAAGTCCGTTTTTTTTAATTGTTTGCATTTTACCAGTACATTATCAAATAATGAAATAATAACTAAGAGCCAAAAATAACAAACTCCTTCTTTATTTACACTGCGTTCCGTCGTAATTTGCGTCTGGCGTTGTGGCTTTGTCAGATTTTAGTTTACTTAAAAGCCGTTTTCACCCCCATGTTATATGAAACTTTTTGTTTCTTTCAACCCCTTATATCACCCATTTAAATAATGACTATCATAACGTTTACACCCTGTATACATATGAAAATATACCTCAAATGTCAAACATGCCTAGCTTATGTAGCCGGAGCATTCTGAAAATATTGCCGTTTATTGCAGCTACATAATCCTGTAAAAATATGGCCTGTTCAAAAGTGCCATTATGTAAACTTTCTTCCATCACTCACACAATACGAACCCTTGCTACTAAACGCTTATTATCAACAAAACGCTAAAAAAAATTGTACCCATTATTTTATTTTTTCTGTGAAGCAAAAAGCGCTGCGTCGTCTGAGTTTTGGTACTTAATCAAAGAACATGCGGATAAGCGAGAAGAGAAATGAAATGATTTATTTCCCCCAAAGGAAAAACTCGTATTTCCCATTAAATGTTGGCTAACCATAACTCACCCACTTTAGGGCTTAATACTTGCCAACAAGGGCTTATAATAAAAATTTATGAAAAATAAAAGTCATATGCGGAGGCGCACTCAGAGTTATAGTGATTGCGTAAGTTATTCGAAAAATAAACTACATTTTAAATAAAGACATCGAAAGTTTTTATTTAAATTATTCGTTTAAAATCCAGAGATCGATATTATGGATCATACATAACAAATGATTTCTAGCACAAATTTCACAAGGACATGTTGCGGAAAAGTGACGTTTTTAACAAATGAAGTAACGTTTGCAGTTTTTCTTCCCACGCGTGAGCGAGGAAGTAGTGTTATTGCGGAAAATTTTAAAAATGAAACATTGCTTTTTGGGGTAACATTACAAGACAAGTACATCACTCGTTTCTGTTTGACTGTCCGTTAATTTTGGAACGAATCAAATATCTGACGAATTACTCATCTAATTCTTTTAAAAATCAGTAGGTTCAGGGCTGATCCGTTGATGATATCCCCGATGTACATACTTTTACATTTATTTTATTTACTTTTACATATGACATATCCATCTCGTCAACTTATCTATCAAAAAAATACCTGCTCCTGCTATATTCGTAAAGTGTGAGAAACATCGTACCCAATCTTCTGGAGAAGTAACCATACAAGAGATAACACCAGTAAGTACTTACAGAAACGTTAGCAGCTCTTCCGAGGACGACCCAAGCATTTTCGGTCATTTTTCTTTAACCTCTCCCGAAATTGTGTCACAAAAGTCACATTTTTGTCAAGATATATCAACTTTCAACCTAGCCTATACATAGGGTGTTTATCCGATATGACTAGACGAAAAAAGAAGGATGAAGAAGAGCAACAAGAAGATAAAGATGAAAGCCATTTATCCAAGAATAATGCAAATACTACTATAGAGCAAGAAGTACAGTACCTGAAGAAGCTATTAGAAACAAAGAATGAAATAATTTTAGATAAAGAGAGGTATATCAATCAATTAGTTAATGAGAACAGACGTTTACAGGAGCATTATGAATTGATCATTAGCAGTATAGTGGATAAAGAAACCATAATCACTTCTTTGGGGAAAATAAATGAAAGAGTTGAAAAAATAGAAGCTACTACCTCATACACCCGTTGTAATGATGTAATTAAATCATATAGTGGAGCTGTAAAAGAGTCAAAAAAAAGCAGAGATGAGAAGATTGTAGATAAAATTAATAATACACAAAAGTTGATGATAAAAAGTACAGACAAATCAAACTCTAATGTGTTGGAAGATTTGAAGAAGAGCATTGATCCAGCTAAGTCAAATATCTGTGTGAACTCTGTGAGGAGGGTGAATAATGGCATCATTCTTAGCTGCGAAAATGAAGCATCAATATCCTAGCTGATGGCGAGTATACAGGGAGAACTCGGTGCGAACTTCACTGTCAATGAGATCAAGAAATATCGCCCACGCATGGTGATAAATAATGTAGAATGCGCCTACACAAAATCTGAGGGATTAATCGAGAAGATCTTGTCCCAGAATGAATTTGGTATTTTCAGTAGTGATGATATAAAAACTGTAACCACTTTCAGATGTTCCGAATCTACTTTAAATGTTGTCATTGAGGTTAGCCCAAAATTTAGAAAAATGTTGCTAGATAGAGGACATATATACATGGGTTGGCAAAGATGTCCTGTGCGGGATTATGTACGAATTATACGCTGCTATAAATGTTCAGGTTTTGGCCACATGGAAAAAAATTGCATACATTCTAAAGTATCCTGTCCTTTATGTGCTGGAGATCATTTGGAAAAAAAATTGTAAATCTGCTTTTAAGAATATTGTATGAATCACAATTCTAAATTCAACATTCAATTTGATACTAGTCATTCTTCTAAAGACTTGGATTGTCCAACTTATAAAAAATATGTTACATACTTGAAATCTAGAATTGAATATGAATAGTGATAAATTCAAGGTTTTAAAATTTGGTCATATAAACTGCAGATCAGTTTTATCAGGATTTCATGAATTTAGTACACTGGTTCAAAACAACAACCTTGATATTGTTGGAATATCGGAAACGTGGCTATCAAAAGATATATCTAATGACCATATAAGAATGAATGGATACAACTGCTATCGCTGTGATAGAGATGGGCGAGGTGGTGGGGTTGCAGTCTTTGTAAACAACCACTACAACTCTTCCATAATTTCATTTGGGCAAGACCCAAGTCTTGAATATATATGGTTGAAGGTGCAGCTTCCAAAAACAAAAAATTGCTATTGGTATATTCTATCGGCCCCCACATAGCTCTGTTACAGAAGCCGGTAATACCTTTGATAACATGTTGCCTGCCATATTAGCTGAATATGATGATATCATCCTTGCAGGGGATATCAATGTTAATTTGCTTTTAGTTTGTAACAACTTGACTAAATGCCTTGATTCTTATAATCTGAAACAGGTGATATCTGAACCGACTAGAATAACTGAATCGACATTCACTCTCTTAGATCCTATTTATTTGAGCAAGCCTGAAAGTTGTCTTAGGAGTGGCACTATTAATGCTGATATGATTACTGATCACTATTTAACCTTCTGTGATATACGTATTGCACTTCCTAAAAATCAACAGAAATTTGTTACATTCAGGGATTTCCATAGTTTAAATGAAATAGCGTTTGAACAAGATCTCAAGAGTTTTCCATGGTGGCATATTATATCGATAGATGACATTGAAGATAAAATTAACTTTTTAACAGATAGTATTTTATGCTTATTTAATGTTCACTGTCCAAAAAAGGTAGTGCGTGTAAACAAAGCTCCAGCTCCTTGGTTGGATGATAATATTAAACTTGTATTCAGGCAGAGGGCTGAAGCTTTGTCAAAGTTCAAACGTGATCGTACAGCCGCCTCTTGGCAACAGTATAGAGCGAAGAGGAAAAAGAGATTATTTACAAGCTGTTCAAAATCAGGATATAAAAAAGTTTTATAAGACCCTAAAGACTTTCAAAGTACAATCTCAGAAAGATTCTACAATTCCCGTGAGCTTGTCCGATCCGTATATGGTTTGGTTTTGTATAATTTTTATTTTTTCTATATTTTTTTCTGAAATGCCAGATATCCTGGACTAGTAAAGGTGTGCAGTTTCTCCTCTCAATGTTGCTATGGTTATGTAATGCTTGTGTCAACATATTGTAAGTATCTTTAACGGCTGCCCTTAAGCCTACTATTTTCTCGATATATCTGTTACGTCTCTGTTCCCTTTTATTTATGCAGGAGATTTCCCTGTCGACCGTTCTCATGGAGAAAAGTAATTGAAATATTGTGTTATACTTTCATGTTAGCGGTGTAGAAACTATGTGCGCCAGATAAAACGTTTTCGATGCTACATACGAAGCACATACATACATGAATATTAAATTCGGCTTTTAGTCGGAGCTTGCATGTAACACGATAGAGATGGCCGATATCACTATTTTACTTTTTGATATTAGTGATTTAAGAGTATACTGATATCCTGAGCAAAATACTGATAAAATCGCATAAAGCCAACCACCAAAGCATATCCGACTCGATATACCTTGCAGGTCATAGTAGTTTTACGGTGGTATACGATTTTCGACCATAGCGAAGAGCAAAGACAGATGTTAATGCCTTGAACCTATGATGCCATTGGCCGTCGTGAACTTGTCACGTTTTTTCACGGTATTTGGTAACAGTCGTGATTGGTAATTTAGGAATATCAGTTACTAAGTCACAGTTCATGATATATCTGCCACACTATAACACTAAATGTGTCACAATGTACTACAGGAGGTCCGGAAGGTCAATGTAAACAATTCAAGGTCATATGTTAATATGTTAATAGTTGCCTTGAAAGAGGTTATTTCCCTGAAACGTGGAAGCGAGCAATTGTGGTACCAGTTCCAAAAAAATCAAATCCAGATGAGTTTGCTGATCTAAGGCCTATAAGCCTATTGCCTTGTTTATCGAAGGTAGTTGAAAAGGCAGCCCACATACAACTAATGCATTATGCAGAGGAACATATCATCCCATCTGATCAGTCTGCTTTTAGGAAATCTTTCAGTACTACTACTTCCCTCTTAAACTTAGTGGATAATATTATTAGAGCACTTGATAAAAAAATGGGCGTAGCAGTGATGTCCATCGATTATTCCAAGGCATTTGACAAAATAAATCATGAGTTGTTAATAGCAAAGTTGAAGTATTATGGTATAGATCCAATTGCATTGAACTTTTTTTGAAATTATATATCAAATCGATCGCAGTGTGTATCAATTGAAAACAATAAATCTAGTTTTCTAGAAATCTCGTCTGGAGTACCCCAGGGGTCTGTTTTGGGTCCCTTGTTGTTTTTGATATATATTGCTGATCTGCCTAAGGCTGTGAGTTCTGTAATAGTTGTCAGTTGAACTAAACATGCTCTTTCGTCTACCCGACCAAAGACAGCGAACCATAAACAGCTGTTTCCTGCTTTTTGACAACTCGTCAGCAGTCTCTGGGACAGTAGTCAGTTGAAGTTTGATCGGTACTTGTAGCTTATCTGAATATACACTGGGAAGATTTGGCAACTGCGCTAAGTCAAGACATTGAAAAACCTCACATTTAATACACATAAATACAGCAATTCAAGAACATTGCAAAGCTTTATATCGAGCAACTCATCCCAAATGTACAAAACCGTGGTTCGCTATGTATTTTACGTTATGGAACATAAAACATTAGTCACAATGTTTCCCATAATATACCACTACCAATCACCCACATGCTCTACTTAGTATTGTTTCTGACGTCGTTCCATGCCCACCCTGATATTTAGATGCTGTAAAGGGTTTCAGCATAGGTTGGACACCCTGAATTAAGAGACCCTAGGCTGTGAATCGCATAAAAGCATGTAAATTTTGTATTATTTTGTAAGCAAAAATGAAGAAGCCACAATAGGAAATCTTGCTACCAAAGTTTCTGAAACAACGTGGTTGTGAAGAAATACTGCATCTGAGATCAAGCATCTGGGAATCAACAACTACTTGGAATGGATTACAAGAATTTTATAATGAATGACTGTGGAGGATCTCATTTTAAGTCAAAATGGGAAATGTATTTTATTTCTTGGAATTAATAGCAATAACTCTAAAACTGCTCGAAAAAAGTGGTACAAACCTTATATCGAAAAAACAGTCCCCAAGGAAAGCTGTGTTCCATTTGAAATTTATAAGAAAAGGTACATTTTCTGTTTTGAGATACTCTATATAAATAGAAAGTTATTTTAGCATTTCTTTCAGCGCAGATAAACATCGATGATGATACCATTTTTGTGAACTAAAATTTATCTAAATATCTTCAAAATTGGCGGATCTGAGAGCTGTCAAAATTGGGTGTTCTTTCGGACATTTCACCAAATATCTAAACAATTGACAATCGAAACCATATATTATATGATATCAAACTTCTTTTTTTTAGAAGCACTATCCAAATATGTAGAAGCTTGAGCAAAATTAGAGCAAAACGTCAGTAGTAGCACTCCCCCATAGGTGACGTTTGCGGGGTGTCGGTTACACGAGCTATGTAGACATGTTTATGATGAGGTAATTTATTTTTCTATTGGGCACTTTTCATTATCAACGTATCACCATTCACGGATTTATTACACGAGGCTTTCTGACAGCTTGATGTATAGCTGACGTGCAACGGCCCCTTATTAATCCATACTTTTTATTCATGACACGTTAACCAAACACTGAGCGATATTTAATAAAATGACGTTGGCG